ACGTCTATGGGATAAATCATTATCCACCCCCCCAAAAAAAAATTGCGTACAAATATTTAGATTTCGGTATTAAATTAATGCCAAAATCTAAATATTTTGTATGAAATTTATATTTTAGAGGAGTGGGGTGGTAATGATTTTAGTTATACAAGTCTTCCTAATTAACCCATATGTGGGGGAGAAGAGGTTGATTCATACCTTTCCATAAGGGTATTTACGCGTAAGGGAATATAACGAAACAAATTGGAATTCAAACACGGCTCTCTGATTATAAATTCCGAGTCATTATTCATGACAGCAACCGCACATACGAGCTGACAGAACCTGATATTCCCAAGTGGGTAAACCGTCTAGGTATTGACCAAGTTCGTTGTTGCTTGTACGGGAATCGGTGTTTCACCATGATGTGGCCGTAAGCCTGCTTCTTGTGTAGTTATTTTAAGCTTAACATAATCTGGCACAAGGATGCAGCTATAATGGGCACTCAGTGTGGATCGAATTCGTTAAACCAATTATTCCGTGAGGACGTGTGCTTAATAAACAAACTTAGCTTAATCTATCGGAAGGTTGGAGATATAAAGAACATGTGGGTTACTAAAATCGCTATACTATTCTTAATCTACAAAGTTAGATTCTTAACCAGTATTCTTGTATAGATATTTTTTTATTTGCAGGAATTTCCAGCCGTTGTGTCCTCCGGCCTTCATCAGGTGTATGTTGATCCGGATAGCCTAAAACTAAAAGGAATTCCAAGCTGAAACCTTTAAATTACTCTAGACTGTTCTCGTTCCAATATCCGTACCGAGGGATATCTTGTCTTGTTCTTATTTTTAGTACTGCTGCTCTGTTATTACTAAGCCTGTTTCCATTGAGTCAGTTACTCGGTTCTATGTACACATCATTAATTGACAGAGAATCTAACGACCGAAGCGTTATGATAACAACAACAAAGATGTAAATCGGGAAAATAAACTCCTCATCCGAGAAATTCAAACAAAAATCATTCTAAGTGAAAAGTAAAAAGCCGACCGCTCAAGAAATGTTTTATTCTATACAAGGAGTTACCCATGCCTTTTAGAACAAAAAACAATTTCAAGTATGCATTTTATAATTAACATTTTTAACCAGTTGAGGGCAGTTGATAAGATACCTTCCACTTTAAATGACAAAGGAAATATAAGTGGTTTTAATTCTCATTCAAATTATTAATTTTTTGGAATAACTTTACCAAAAAGAAATCGGTAAAATTCCAAAGAATGTTTTTGAATGATAAGCCAGTATTTAAGTGTAAATCTCCAAAACTCCTTCTCAGAAAGGTTTAAAAACAATAAACAAATCTATTAATAAAGACGGAATAATGCAGGTGAGATAAGCGTTACATATTATAAAGGTTATATATAGATTGACAGTTCGAAAAAAAAGAGTCCGAAAAAAAGAGCAATCACTAACATTCTAGTCAATAAAAAATCGGTAATTTAACCAAAAAATGAAATATATTTTTAAATTTGTCAAATTAAAATTTTTCAAAATATTACCATATGCAGAAAGAACAAGAAAGGAAAAAAAAACTTACCAGGTCATTGTAAGCGAATCTCTTAAAATAAAATTATTGAGTTGTATCACTTAAATAAAAGCGTAGGAGGTGTGTTTTTTTAGCATTGTTGGACAAATAGGCGGATTCATGTCCTTTTAAAATCTTTCACAATACTCATATTCTTTTGTATAAATATGATACCTCATATTATGCCGGGGGTGGTCTCTCAGATTATTTCAGCTTAGACCACACCCTTTCACACACGCAAACACTCGCACACACGCGCACAAATACACACACATATATAAAAAATTGTATAATAAAAGATATAAGGACGCTATAAGAACAGTACTAATATATATATATATATATATATATATATATATATAAACAGAGCCAATATAAGAAATATAAAAATAACGATATTCAAATATTGCTGCTTTTTCGCTACTTTTTTACTAAGTTTTTCGTCTCACAATATAACAATATAGAATTGTGTGTCTTGTCCCTTGACCCGCCCGATATTGTGAAACCGCCTTATGACAAACTGGGAGTTCACTTGGAGATTTAAGTCGCGGAAAGCAACAATATTTGAATATCGTTTCTTTTAAAAGTATTTCTTTATCTACTTTTAGATATATATATATATATATATATATATATATATATATATATATATATATATATATATATATATTAGGCATGTCCGCTATAAAAAACAGCATAGCTTGATGAAAAAAGACCTCAAATTAGAAATAAAGTGTTATCGTCAACATAAAACATCGTCAACGTGTTTATGTTATTATTAAGAGGAAAGAACAAAGTATTTTTTTAAATTATTTAAAAAATTTTTTTAAATCTTTCTAACACGTTCGAAATTTTGGTTAAAATTCCTGTTTTTTTTACAAGTGCTTTTGTCCCTTTTTCGGTGAAAAACATTAATTTGGAAATTCTTGCAAAAATCAAATAATTGTCGGATTTTAATGAAACTTTTGGAACTTATTCACAAATGAATGAAATTATTTTAAAAAAAATTTTGTTTTAGAAAATCTTAGTAAAAAATATATTTTTTTTTCAAACTTTTGTTCGCTTTCTGAAAATCTATACCGAATGGTAAACTAAAAAAATCTAATAAAACTATGAGATTATTTAATTAGAAAACTTTTAATTGCATTTGTAAATTAGTTATATTCAGTGCGTTATTATTTTAAGAAAAAAATTTCGATGAATAATGAATTTTTACGGGATTTTTTCATTTTTTTAAAATTTTAATTATAATAATTTAAAAATCTCCCACATCGTATTTCTTTTAGATGATATTGTAATTAAGTAGAAATTATATTTACGAATCATAATTTGAAAAGCTTAATATAAGTCGTTTTGCATGAATATTTTAAAAATAATTTTAATTTTACTTTTTTTACTTTAAGCATTCCCATTTTTCATCTATGGTAGTCTACAAGTAACATTATTATGAAAAGGTCATGTGTTCTAAGAGTTATACTTTTTTTATTCGCTTGTCTTCAATTCATTATTCATTGCTTACGTATCAACAGGTTTTGAACATCATCCCCTCAGTTTTAAAAATTTAAAGTAAGTTTTACTTTTTTTATGTATTTATTTCAGTGTGGGGCATAAATTATTGTGTTATCTCTATCATGGTATTTCATCTCCATTATTAAATTTTAAAATTAATCTAAGAAAATTCTATAGTATTTTAAATATTTTTTCATAAAACATCTTCAAAAGTAACTAAAAGTCAATAAAATAATTGCTGAAAATATGTTAATTTGTAAAATGACTAGGTAGTTAACCCCCCCGGCAAAAATGAGTTCACTTAGATTTCGCAAATTTATGTCAATTCTGGTCATCCATACTAGCTTTGAACACCTGGGAGCTTATTGATACGTCAATAAAAGCAAAAGAAAAACAGGACCCGTCGTTAACAAATGCTTGTATACTATTTTTTATGTTATAAGTAATATGTGTTTCAAATTAGATTAATATAACTTTAAATTGGCTAATTTTATTGAAATAACGTGTCACAAATATATATTTTATTTTTGGAAGATTTTTAAGACCGATAATTAAATTTTATTTTAAAACTTGTTAAAATGCAATAAATGGCCGACAGTAAACAGATCTTTTAAAATCAAGCAATTATTTGACATTCCAATCTATGAAATTCTAATTGAAAAAATTAAAATTTCTAATTGAAAATAAATTTAACTGTAAATGTCTATTTATGATTATACACCCAAGGGAAGCACTGAAGATGTGGGAAAGCTGCTTTTTTAATTTTTGAGTTTTGAAAAAGTTTTAAAATTTAAAAAAAATTTTAAATAGAAAAAAATTCTGTTTTCTTAATTTCGATTCTTTTTATTTTTTCTCTTTCCTTAATAATGTTTTCTTTTCTCGTATTATCCCACATTCAGTAAACCCTTACGACATGGGGTGAAATGATTACAAAAAGTATTTGGCAATACGAAAAGAAAAAATGAAAAAAGAAAGAAAAAAAAAAACGAATAAAAAGCCCAAATTCTATAGAATTAGCTAATCGATTATCGCTCACTCGTCAGAACGCGATCGAGGAAAATCACAATATTTTATTTTTCTTGATCGATTTCTAACAAATGAGTAAAGATAAAATAGTCATAATCGGGGGTGTTAGTGAGGACAAGCTCCCACTGTATCTAAAATGCTACCATGACACATGCATCTCAAATAGTCTCTGACAACTAACGCTATCTCCAAGCCGGAGAAGAGGCGAAGGCGAACTCCTGGCGCCTCATAACCAGCTGCTGGGTAGAAAGAGTTGGTCATCCCGGGAAAGCGGTCCATCTAGGTGAACGAAAATTCTGATTTTAAACCTCAGTTGCCTTGTGGGACTATCAAAACAAGGAAATGGCAATGGAATTAAATCTAAATAGATTATCCGGAGTGGAGCCCCGAAGTCAGTTGGCTATCAACATTGACAGCCGTTCGTAAATCACGTAGCCAAGACGGCCTCAAATATAACGCCCTGTATTCTTTTGGAACTTGTTGGTACGGCTGAGAAGGGAGCCATGCGGGCAGGGCAGAGGATGGCCTTCATATTACGCCGTGGAGAGGTGTGTCGAGTCTTACCACCAAAGGGCGGAATTTTGATCAAACAGGGCGTTACCATAACATTACCTGAAATAACATGAATAATTAATGGTGAAAAAAATCTCCGACTTCGGCTTATCAACCCTTTGCAGATTATTTAAAGCTTGAAAATATTTTTGATTATAATAATTTTTTCTGGAAATAATATTGAATTAATAATACATGTTTACTAATTAACACATATCTGGGGGTATAAGATGCGGATTCATACCTTTTTCAAGGGCATTTGCGCATAAGTGAATAAATGAACCGAACTGGAATTAGAACTCGGATTAACAATTCCAAGCCATTATCTATTACACCACCCGCACATCTAGGTTTACAGCACTCTGTATTTCCAAAGCGGTCACTCATCTAGATACTGACCAGAATCGACGTTGCTTAACTTCGGTGATCGTATGGGAATCGGTGCTTCAACGTGATGTGTCCGTAAGCCCAGATCGTAAAGATGTCGATTTTTCCAGACAGCCTATTTGATACGAAGGCATCGAAAATGCGAGCCCCTAGAAAATGTGAGACACTCGAAAATGCGAATCCCTAGAAAGTGTGATGCCCTCGAATATGCGATTCCCTAGAAAATGCGATTCCCTAAAAAATGCGAACTCCTAGAAAATGCGAACCTCTTGAAAATGCGAGACCCTCGAAAATGCGAAATCCTCGAAAATGCGAGCCCTTAGAATATGCGAGATCCTCCAAAATGAGAGCCTCTAGAAAATGCGAGGCCTTCAAAAATGCGACCCTACCCCTAGAAAATATGATGCCCTCAAATATGTAAACCCCTAGAAAATACGATGCCCTCGAAAATGCGTGGCCCGAGCATTTACCATTGCAAAAATGGTAAATGCTCGGGCCACTAATATTCAACAAAAATATTTTAATATTTTTTACTATCATTTTACCCCAAGCAAGGCGATAATGCCACCAAGATGCAAGAGGGGGTTAGTGGGAGTGGACTTTGAAGACTTTAGTGAGGAGAAATGACAATTAAAGGACTAAGTTCAGGAAGACAGAAGATGTTGATTGCCGCTGTCAATTTTTGAAGATTGTAGACGGCAAGGGATCAAGAAATCGAAAGAGAGTTCCAAAAGCAAAAAATGAGCGAAAACTAAAAAATTGGAATATAATCCACGGTTACAAGTAACAACCTTTTACCAGTAAAATGATTAGGCCAAGTGCCCAAATTCATGCGGTCGTGGCATCCAAGAAGAACTCATTAGAATAACTGCCATGAAAATATGTATAGAAAAAACAGAGGGAAACCGAATAGAATTGGAAAAACGACCGAAGCCGAGATGCTAGGTCAGGATCGATAACATTACAGACCCTTCTTTGGATTTTGTCGGGAATCTTCAGATCTGTCAGTTTTTAACCCTTTGTCTGTTCAGGGCATTTTCGTGTGTACTATCCATGCTTGTTGTTCAGATTTATAACTATTGTAAGGCAACTCAGCCTATTTGGCAAATAGGATGTGCTGATACATAGTGTTTCACATAATAAAAACTTATAAATTATAAGTTATTTACACTCCGCTCTGTGCATCACATGTGATAGACAGGAGGTTTTTATTATGTGAAATACCACAGCGTTTGTAACAGCAAAACTGTCCGAATCGTGTAACAACAAAAGTATCCAATTGTTAGATTACGATTTGAACCGTTGTATCTTAGAAATGATTAAAGATATCTTACTGCATTTCTCCGAGGTTTTTATAATGCTATTGGACTCTACTTTGAACAATAAAAATGTATTTCGCTCTAAGTTGAAATGATGATCCCTCTTCCTATTGTGACCTTCTGATCCAGTTCTCTCTACTTTTCCCTCTTTTTAAACTTATTCATCATTCTCTTGATGGTTCTTGAATGAACTTTGGAAGATGGAAACCAGAGTATGAATGTTGGTACCATTACTGAAGGCCTTAATGATCTTTTCCCTCTCATCATTGCTCAGTTAAGAAGACAGTGGGTATGACACAAAAGGATTTTAACTTGCTCTCTTTTTAACTGAATAACTAAAAGGGTTTTTCAGAGATTCTTATGAAAAATGGTGTCAAGATGGCTAAATGTCTTATCTGGAAACCTACAATAAAGAAACTCAATTAGTTTAATGGATTTTTAGATATTAAACATTTTGTGAGATGGATAATTATGCTATTATACAATTTGGACAATTTTGCTGTTACACCCGGTAAATTAGCACACATTTGCCAAATAAGCTGAGTTGTCTTGCAGTAGTTTTAAATTTGAAAAAGACAAGCGTTTTGTAGTCATATACGATGCACAAAATATTAGATTAGACTTTTCCTCAGATATCATGCTTAATAGTAGACTCTTTTCTTAAGTGTCTTTAGTTTTACTAGTCTTTTAAAACCATAGCTCGTGTGTACCACATATGGTGCCCGGACGTGGAAATCACAGGCCCTGTGCCTCACATATGATGAGCAGAACAGGCAAAGGATTAAACGTGACACAAGATGCACATGATGTTTCCCTTGCTTACCTTCGCACCGTCTGGCTAAACGCCACATGTTGGAGACACCTAGTGAGGATCGAAATCACTACGGTAGAACGGGTTTTGCAAAGTTATCAATGTTTACAGCTGCGTCAGATAAATGATTTTTTTTCTTGAAAGTAGAAAATTACAACAAAATCGGCAAGAAATGTTCTTGGTTACTGTCAGCTTTACTGCAATAATTAGCCTTTGTCAAGGCTGACGATGGATGCAGAAGCATTTTTTTTTCATTACTCCGAAAAGACAAGCATTGCTACGAACTACAAATGATAGGAAGTTGTGTAGGGTGACGTTCCGAAGGGATACGGTAACATATAAAAGAGGCTCATTCATTCATCGCACTTATCCGGCAGCTATCGTGACATGTCAGGAACGAGACGTTTTTTTATCATATCGATGCGAAATCATACCTTTCCTTAGGGCAGTGGTTCCCAATCGATTTGGGGCCATGTCCCACTTTGGTATTTCTAAAATTTCTGGTGCCCCCCTGTAATATTTAATTCTTACATATTTAAACTTTTACCTCAATTCACGTGAAAGAAGCTTAAAATGCCATTAACTTGGTCTCTAAACAAACCTCCAAAAGACCATGGCGTCCATGAAAGAGAAAAATTAAAAAACAAAAAGACAGTTAAATATATATAGTTTCAAAACATATAATAGAGAATTGAAAGGTAAAAGTATAAAATATTTGAATGAAACCTTATTCTGTAATATACCTTGATCATTTTAATTATGAAATAATAATGCAAAATGAAATTTGACTTCACTTAAAAACAATTCACTGTTAATAACTCATTCTCGAATTGGCCCCTTATTCTGTTGGTATAGTAAGCCGAAGGGTGCACATCCTACGCATGCCCCACCCAAATATTACCATGTCCCACCGGTGAGGCATGTGAACCACGTTGGGAATCATTGCTCTAGGGGTACGAATCAAGAAATGTGAATTGGGTGTGCAGGTGGTGTAGCAGTTATCAACGCGCAAAATAGAATCGATTTCAAATTCTAACCCAAAGCTGCGTTCAATTGGCACATTCCCCCACCTATCCATCCACACATCCTTCCTTGGAATACGATTTTGAATTCACAATTGATTTTTTCCTAGACTGGCTGCCAACCACAGCTGCACTGTGGTGATGGGGAAAAAAGATAGATTCCTACCTTTACTCAATGACGTATTTTTTGCGAAAGTGAGTGTAACGAACTCGACTAAGATTCGAAATTGGCCTGCCGATTTCTCGTACCGATCGGCTAACTCTCGGCTATAGTTAACATAGTAGGGTGGATTGGGATCTCTAGCCTTGTTGGGTCAACCAGTATAAAAGAAAGAAAACGGATGAAAAAGAAGGAGACGGTTAAGGCGGAACAATCCGCTATATTTCAAGTTATGGTAATTTATAAGTTACAAATATTAAAAGAAAACGGCAAGGAAGCTGTGGAGTATTGCGATCCCCACGTCTTGAAAAGAAAGTCTTACAGGGTATTTTTGCAATGTTGAACATTCCTGAAATTTGGCCTGGGTTCGCTGACCCCGAAATCCGAAGGAGCATTGGAATAACGAACGCTGCCTTCCAAAAGCTTTTAGAATAAGGAAAGATGCCTTCCAAAAGCTAAGCGAAGTATTAAAAAGCAAAAAGATTTCGTTAGAAACAAAGAAGAAAAATGATGAACTGCTATGTAGTATCAGTGCTCATAATAGACAAAGAAGAGACTGGCAGTAACAGAAATGTGGCTCTACAGAAGGATACTGAGAATACAATGGACGGAGCGTATCAGCAATGGAGAAGACTTATGGAAATAAAAAGGGTACTTGTACTCAGAATCCAAAAGAGACAGTTGAAATTTACTCGACACAAAATGAAGTGCTTGGTGAAATTGACACACACAGGGCATATCGAAGGCATTAGTGAGGCGGTAGACCACCTACCTGACCAGCTTGTGTGAATGAATATTGGAATGCGGGGTGGGAGAAGGAAAAGAAACTGTTATTACAAGGGATAGGAAGTTATGGAGAGCTATGATCGTACACGTCCCGAATGGACACTGCACGTAGAAGAAGACCCATAATGCTAGCTGGTACCTCCGCGACGGCAATGCGACATTTTGTAAACAAAATATTGTCACGTTGAGAAATGAACACCTGCGCTGTCTTCTTAGTGAACAGTTAATTGTATAGCCTTTTATGATCGCTTCACGGCTAATTTATCAGAAGATCATAAAAACTGACTCTCGTTGACCCTGAAAAAAGAAGTCGTATACAAGAGTGAACGCCTACCGCAGCGTAACAGTCAGCGATCTCATCTCGCAAACGAATTATTTTGTAGTCCGTCTCATCTTCACGGAGTGCTCTACTGTTGTAACCTTGTGCCACACTAAGTCATAAACCAAGTCCCGCTCGTATCTATAAATGTGTTGCTCAGAATGCGATAAACGTCCCCTCGTCTTCGGGTGGATTCCAATCGTCTTGCCCTTTGCAATCTCTCTCTCTCTCTCTCTCTCATTGCATTTCTGGGGGATATAGCAAAGTACGTCATTATGTGTGTATCTAGAATCGAGAGGAACACGTCATCTACACTAAATTTAAAAAAAAAGGAGAAAACTGGACATGATTTTAGAGGCTAAAAATTAAAAAACAAACAGCCGACCTCATTATAAACACATACAGTCTGTGGCATGAATACCTTAGACATATAATTCTCAGAAATATTTTTGCATATAATGGTAGGATATTAGCTAGATGAAGCCACCAATGTACTAATGTCTTACCATTATGTGGCAGGTATTTCTGGGAGGTATATGGGGAAGTATTTTGCCGCATAATATATATATATATATATATATATATATATATATATATATATATATATATATATATAATATCGCACATTGAGTGCTTGTATTAATAAAATAACAGGGCCA